CAGGGAATGTCCCATTGTATCCTAACCCTGGAGTAGTAAATTCTACATATCTTGTATTGGTATAAATAAGTGGGACAGTTGAAATATTCACCCTGAGCAATTTAATGTCTTTGTCACCTGAAATGGAACTGACTGGCAATTGCTGACATAGGTTCTCTCCTTAAAATCTTTATAGACTTGCACTTTTCACAACATTTTCTTCTTACATCTAGGAAGGAATACTATCTTAACTGCAAATCTGTGACTCATCTCTCATTCACTTGTTCTCTTGCACAAGAATACATGACAGCACAAGCTCTAAGGCTTTTCAGAATGTTTGCTTCTTCACTCGGTGTTCAATGATAACATCACAATGAGGATCCAATGTTAGTGGATGAATACGCAATCCTTCATGTAAAGTGGGTCCAGGAAGTAATAAAAATGTCTTGTGTCATAACTAGGAAATGAACTGGGAAGTGGTTCAGAAGTCAATGTGGAATAAGTAGAGGCTCCATAATGTGGTAGAAAGAACCCTGATTGCCACCTCAAGAGGTTTAGGCCTGGTTGTGATACTGATAGTTGACTTCAGATCCCTCATTCCTTATGTCTAAGGGAAGATAGTTGAATTAAGTGATAACCAATAACCCCACAGGCTCTAATATTTAAAAAAAAAAAAAAAAAAAAAGCTTCACCAAGACAAAGGAACTGACATTTGGGTGTGCAGGAAGTGTCAGGACATTGATGTCCATCCAGAGTCATCCAGGAACACACCAGTGGTTTAACAAGTCAGGTAGATTTTGTGTGACAAAACACATCGTAGGGAACTATGGTTCACCCAGTAAAAACGTGTTAGAGGGCTGAGGGTATGATTCAGTGGTAGAGGGCTTGCCTAGCAAGTGTGGGGTCCTGGGTTTCATCCTCAGCACTGTAAAAATAAAAGGGTAGTGCTAGAAAGGATTTACAGAATCTGGGATTGAATTAGGTGATTTGAGGGGAGGATTTAAGGAAGCAGGGATAATTCCATGATTGGGTGTCTTTTATCTTTAAATGAGAAAGACTATTACTGGCAGCCAAGCCAAGGGAACCTGTCTGGATCCCAGCTGGCCGGATTTGGCYACCTGCCTGCAATAAGAAATTAGCAAATTATGGAGAAAAGGAATCTTACTCAGTTTGATTAAACTGTGAAGAAGCAGCTAGATTGCTTCTCCACAGGTCCTTCAGAAACCATCACAATTTATAGAAACAAAGCCTAGTGATGTACATATGTAGATTTAGCCAGGCCGTGCTAGTCAGAGAACCTGTCACCCCAACACGGGCCAGTGGTAGGTTTTTTTTTTTTCTTTTTTTTTTTTTTTTTCCATTCTCATCAGAAGGAAGTTTGGGAGTTTCAAGACTAGCAAGACTAATGTGTTAGGGTCAGGCAAACGTCGGAGGAAGAGACCACCAAGAGACTTGTCTCATGCAAAAGCAAAGGGTTTATTGGGGGGGGGGCGAGGATCAGCATGCTGGGGCCCAGAGTTCTCCTGAGAGAAACTGGAGCCCTGAGTACAGCTTAAGCAGAGTTTTTATACAGTGTTTAAACAGGGAAGTTCATATGGCAGTTAGGGTGCGAGAGTGGGGTTGTTACAAAATAACCATTACAGAATAATGTGTATTGTCAGGGGGTGTTGGGCCAGGGTACATTTTGACATAAGTAACTGTTTTTAACATAAGTTTCGGGATCCAGGAAAACAGAACTTAAACTTACAGAAAAGAAAAACTTAAACTTAACAGGAGAGAAAAACTTAAATTAAACCTTTACAAATGCTGTAATTGGTAAAGAAGCACAGTCATTTATAGTACTCAGATTAAGGGGTGTTTGCTTGTTCTGTGGCAGCACAGTGTCTTGTTTTTCTCTGTATTCAGAAATGATTACAGAGCAGTCTTGTTTTTGTCTCCATTCGTCACTGTCATAGGGTGGCCTCACCTGATACTAAAGTTCTATGAAGTGGTTTATGCCCAACAGGAAAACACCAGAGCCTCACTTCCAGCAACCTGAAGGCCTAGCAGATGGTAATAGTAATGAGCTAGAGCCCAGGTGGGAAAGGCAGCTTTTGTCTTTCTCACAAGTAAGTTAGCAACAAGTAATTTGTGTTTTTTATATTTGAATATTTTGTCATGTGAACAGATACAAAATAAATGTCTCCTTTTCCAAAAGTTAGAGCAAAGTATACTTAATTCTCAACTCTACTCCAGAATATATTTAAGATGGACTCAACTTGTTAAGTATTGAGAAAACTAGAAGAATTAGAATTTTACAYTTCTCAAGCCTTTCTGCACTAGTGATTTATTTCATGTTTTCTCAGTTAATTTCTCATCAGAAATTGGGAAGAAAACTATTAATAAGGTGATCCCTATAAAGGAAAACATGGTATTGTAAAATTATATGATTTATATTATTACATAATTAAAATTGACTCAGATTGTTTGTTTGACAAAGCAATCCTATTTCTGGGAAGATATCTAATAGCTTTGTCTGTACTTGTATGAAATGAGGTGCATACAAAGTTAATTCATCATAGCATATTTATTGTAGCACAATCTTGGAAACAACCCAACTATTCAACTATAGAGAAAGGCTACATAAAGTACATTAAATTGATGTGGCAAAATACTATATAAGTATAAAAGAAAGAATGAGGAAGCTGTCAGTATATTGATGTGGAGAGATAACTAGCATGTGATGTCAACTGAAAAAATAAGATAGAAAATACTAAAAACAAAGTAAAGACAAAAATTTATTCATATCTACATATATAACACTACAAATACACAAAATAAGTGAATAAAGTAGTCACCTTTATTTGTGATGTAGACAGGAATGTGAGAAGGAAGCTTCTCATTGGATGCCTTGTTAAATATATATTAAAATTGAATCATATATATACTGCCTATTACAAAAATTAAAATAATTTAAAGATATGTATGATAGAGAATATGTCTTTTTCCTACCACATTCCAATTTCTAGCAGTTAACATTTTAAGCAATTGGTTCATGTGACTGTGGGGTTGACAAGGTGGAAATTTTGAGGGCAGGCCTGGAGGCTGGATCCCCTGGGAATAGTTGATGCTACAGTCTCATGTCTAAAGAAAATCTAGAGGAAGAATTCTAGTAATCTGCTTTATTATAGTCTAGTGATTAAATGTTAATTACATCTCTAAATTTATCTTCATAGCAACATGGAGGCTAGTATTTGACCAAAAATTGGACACCATGATCTAGCCAAAGTGAATCATAACAATCATAGGCCTGCTCAATCATAACATGTATCAATATCCATATTTATTTTTAATTAGAAATGTGAACATAACACTGATAACACATCTAGTCTTGGGTAATAACTTTCCATGTTTAGATGGAGAACTCTGAAAGGAAATACCCCTTTAAAATATGTGAAAATTTGTAATTCCAAACCATGGGAAAAAAGACATAATTCTTCTAAAAACAGAAGCAACTGCTTAGGAAACACTTTGGATAGTCGTTAATGTTTACTTTACATAAAGCTTCCATAAATTGAAAAGAAAAATATTGACACCACAAATCACAAGGAGTCAAATCACAAAAGAATGACTCCAATTAGGAAGAAAACACTAATAATTGTTTAACCTCAAAAGAAATCCAAAGTGAGTTGATCAAACTTAAATAAGTGAACTCCTTTAAATGATGAAAAGGTCCAGCAAGGTTTTTATGAAACTTAGATACAAGCTACCGCTCTCACTTTGAATAAACAAGTCAGCCTTTCAAAATTGATTTGGCAATATCAGTAGCGAGCTATAAAATCATGCCCTTTGGCCAACATTAATCCCTTTTCTGGGAACTAATCTTGAGGAAATGATTCAAAAGATGGTAAAAGGTATAGCCTGCAGATATTCACTGAAACACATTCATTCAATCAAATAAATCTACAAGCTAAATATCCTAACAACAGAAATGCAGGCTAAATGTGGTTTATTGATTTCATGAAACGTAGCTGTTAAAGAGGAAGACAACAATGAGGTAAAATGAATATGATATAATGTTACATATAACAGTTACACCTTGTCTCTGGTTACAATGAGAATTGTGTGTTAGCTGTATTTACTTGACAAGAGCATCGAGGAACATGGAAACCTAAAACCAGTTTTATCTCGGGATATCAGATTTGGGGGTGACACTTGTTTTTACTTTAGTCCTATTAGTAGTATGATAATACTTTGACATGATTATAAGCTCCTTAAAATTAATCCTAAAGTAGCATTATCCCAAACAATACCCTCAAGTTGGAATTATTTTGTAATCACAGACTTGAAGAATTCTGTGATGCTGTTGTCCTCTCCCCTGCTGTGATAGACATAGGTACCCAGGCACTGAAACCGAAAACCCCCAGTCTCTGCTCAGAAATAGCCATCTGTCTGTTGATTAAGCCCAGAGAGGAGAGATGCTTTAGAACTCCATATTCTAAACATGTAAGAGACCAGAGAAAGCAGAAGCAAAGTACATTTCTATGCTAATATAACTGGGTCTCTAATTCTAAAATGATAACTAGTGTCATTCCCAACACTTTCTAGTTATCAGAGATGTTTTATTAAAATTATAATAGTACATGAAGACCCACAGGAATATTGTTTATCTTTGTTCCCAACTAAGGTTTTAGATCAACATTTTTTTTCTCAGTGAATACAAGTATCCAGTGAAATGAAAACTCAATGAGGAAGAAATATTTGGTGTAAATATCAAGTTTTTCTTTTTTTCAGTTTTCCCATAGATTAAAAGACAGGTTTAATAGTTCTCAGTGCTTGTGGACTTTTGTTTTCATTTCTTGGTTCTTATTTTCTGAGTTTAGAAGCCACTTGTAGAGATAATCTCAACAGCAGGAAATTTCCCAATTAGCAAAACAGAATTGCCTAGCAGATAAATGATGGTTTCATGTACCCAAGTCCCTACTAGTACCTGCTAGAAAAGAGGACTTGGTGTTAACCTGTATCACAAACATGTTTTACAGGGTGGATCATTTGTACACATTCTTTGTTCAGTGGTCTCCTGATGTCTATGGGAAAGATGCCAAAGAGCAAGGCTTTGTGGTGGTGGAAAAGGAAGAACTGAATATGATCGACAACTTCTTCAGTGAGCCAACAACCAAGAGCTGGGAGGTGAGCACGTGGGAAGGGACTAGGCTATCGTGGTCCCTAAAATGCAGGACACAGTCAAAATGGCCTTCCATTGGGATTCTAATTACTGGCTAGCAAGAAGGTAGAGCTCCTGCAATCTGGAGAAGTAAGCAATAGTTAGGCCTTTTCCAAGGTCCCATCACCCTCTCCAATGCTTGTGACAGTGGAAAAGAAAAGATAGCTAGAAAGAAGGAACCGGATTAGTCCAGCTACTTATCTCTACTTTCTTTCCACGTGGAAGACAAAAGTCCAAAATTACTATGAGGAAAATAATACTGGCCAGGATTCCCCTGCCCAATGCAGATTCAAGTTCTACCCACTGGCATTACCTGGAACCAATCCATTGTTACAGTCTTCTTCCACCTTATGGGTGGAGAAGGAGAATCCTGGCTTCCCTAGAAGCTAACAGGTATTGATTCTCAGGACGTCCAAAGTAAAAGTCATTCTTCTCTAAAACTTGTTTCCTCTCATGTATTTCCATTTTAGTTAGCAATGCCAGAGTCTGAAGTCTAAATATACCACATTATCTCCTTCATCGTCGTACCTAGTCTAATCACCTCTAGTTGGAATCTTGTTGATTCTTACCTTAGGTGGTGTGGGACCTCTGYTCCCCTCCATCACCACTCCCTAGGCAGGTTCCCCTGACTCTAGTCTGGATTTCTGCACCTTCCCTTGAACTTGGAACAACCCTGCAGTCCCAATCTGCCCATCAGTCCATCCCCCTATACTCAAGATCTCAAAACAAGCTTTATCTCTCCATTCTATAAAGCAAGGCCTGCTTGTTGGAGGAAGATTAGAACTTTTGGAAAATATACTGTAGAAAAATTTAAAATAATATCTAACAACACTAGGCACTTTTATATGTTTCCTTTGCCTTTTTTTTCCTATTTTGCTTTCGCCTTTTTTCTAGATGTGGCAGGGAATGAGTCATGTTTTGTTGTTGTTGTTGTTGTTGTTTGTTTGTTTGTTTTTGCAAGATGAATTGTGCTTTATGTACTATTAAGTGTCTGGATTTTCTCACCTGGCATTGTAAGAATTGTAGTAGTAAAGACTTTTAAGAGCTTCAATTTTAAGGGTTACATAGTATTTTGGAACTCTGTTATAGTTTATTTAACAATTCCCCACTTKAAAACTTATGTTGGTTCAAACTTCATAAGGATATGATGATCTGCAAATGTTTTTATTCCTTAGTTGCCTAGAATTAGAAGGTATAAAGGCACTAATTTTTTAACACTCCTGATTTTTTTTTTAAGAGAGAGTGAGAGAGGAGAGAGAGAGAGAGAGAGAATTTTTAATATTTATTTTTTAGTTCTCGGCAGACACAACATCTTTGTTGGTATGTGGT